ATTTTCCATATCACTAATTTTTTAAAATTAATCTTGTGAGTGAAATCTTCGTATAATTGACTTCAGTGGGGCTAAGATTTCACCCTTAGTATCTTACATGTACTTTGAGAATCGTGGCAGGATACTGGCAAAAGGATTGAGTATCTAAACTGCACAGAGCTAAATTCAGAATGTAATGGACAATAGTAATTCAAAAGAACAGGAATTGGTCAGAATTGGCTTATTTTAAATTTATTTAAAATAGCTTCAAAAATTCATCAGTTTCAAACCTGTATTTAGTGCATGCCACTGACTTCAGTTGATGACAGTGCTATTATTTTTGAAAAATTAAATTTCTGTGATTTTAAATTGCAGTGTCTATTTTAAGAAGTCAGGTAATAATCACAAAAAATAGTAAATATGATGTGTCTATAGAATTCTGTGTGTATTGGTGTCATGAATTGATGAATCACAAGTGGGGGTGGCAGTGAATGTTTTCCTACCAAAGTTTAGAAACTTGAAATCCACTGAAAAATTAGTATTGCTGTATTTACATCTGAGTCTATCATGTGTACTGACCTAGCAGGGTGGGCATATGTTCACTCCTCAAAGTTAACAAAGGAGAGGTGAAATACAGCTTGCCTTTTAGCTGCTACAGAATATTAGTCTATATGTTTATGTACAGTATCTGCTTGTTCCTGCAAAGAAGGCTGATTGTAAAGTACCATACTTCAGAAGAAATTTTCAAATGTCATTGGCGACTTTTAGTCGTGTGCATTATATACAGAGTTCTTGCAATTCTGAGATTCTTATTGAGATTTTACTAATTCGAAACTCCCATTAACTTCAGTGTGAGTTTTGCCTGAGGATATGGTCTTGTTGAATTTAAATGTATGCTTAACTAACGTAACTCATTACAACTGTTAATGTGGCAATTATATTTAATATCAGGTTGGATGGTCAGGATAATGAAATAGTCCCCAGTCTAGCGAGGGACACACAGAGGAAGACCCAGAATATCTCCTGTAGAAGCCTGCTTGCATGGCGTTTCCGGTATGCAAGTATGCTACACAGCATAGCAGTGACTGCTCCACATTCTGCACTGTTCTTTGCAGAAGGTGTCTAACCCCTAAACATCCTCTGCTTGCTATTGTCTGTGGAGTACTGAAATGAGGCATCTTACAGCTAGAGAGGGAGTGGTGTGGGTCAAAGTCAAAGCTGAGATACTCCACAACTCATTATGTGGCCATAGAGATTAACAGTTACTTCCCCTGCACCCCCACCCGCCTCCCCCCGAGTAATTGTAGTTACTTCTGAGCTGTAGGCATTTGAGGATCGGTTATCTCTCTAAATATTCAGGTTTCTGTGATATTTATAGTTCCTAATGTTAATAAGTATGTGTTAGCAATGTCCTATTTGAAATTGACAACATTGACTAAGTGCTGATGTTAGGGTTGGGAAAGATAATATAACCAGCAAACAAGTATTTCAGTACAGTCCTGTTTCACAAAACTGTAGCTAACCATCTTTTGGCATGTTCCTGGGGCTGTAAGAATCCCATGGAATCACCTTCAATATTTTATTCTTCAAAATAAAGAGGACAAACATCTGTATTTGTGTGCCTGCATTTAAGTGTTCTGAATGGTATTTTAGCTTGAGGAATACTAGTAAACTTTAGTAAGCCCCCTATTTTTTTTCTTACTTTTAGGATTGGGGTCTTGTATAGCAAGCAGTCAGATTTACATAGCAAATTAAACTAAAACTAACCTCTGTACTCTAGTCTCTCTTGAATGGAAGGCGCAATGGCCACAAAATCAGTATATTGAAGGGAATGAAAAAGGACAACTGTTTTTTAATGATAAGTTTTGGTAGAATCTGTAGTTTTGAGGTTGCCACATATAAATTGTGGTTAAGAAATGGTCTGTCTTGATTGCTGGGGAGAACCCCACTCTAGCTATGCACTGTCACATATGTTACATGTGCAGTGATTAGATGTGGAAAGATTCATCTCATTATAGTAATGAACCTTGACCAGATGAGTAGCAGAGTTGGGGATGTTGTGGTAACTTTATGCTGAATGTGAAAAATAAGTTAGCAGTTGGTCAAAGTTTTTCAAAGTTATTCACTTAAAATTTTCCCTTCCACTTGGTTCTTTATAGTGGACTGGATGTTTGTTAGCAGCTGCCCAGTAGCTGAATTACAGTACAAAGGGCTTGATCCTGCAACACTTAATCATGCAAATAGTCCCATTTACTGCAGTGAGACTATTCACGAGTTAAGTTTGTTGGATTGTGCCTAGCATTGTACCTAATATTTCTAACACCTAGGGACCGTTCACTATGAAAGTTGCTATATAAATGTAAGAGCATTTTATTATATACAGTTAACACGACTTTAAAGTACAAATAGTTTCAAAGCTGTGGAAAGTGTTCAGAGGGCAGTTACTTTAACACTAATAATGGGTTTTTAGTTCACAATATTCTATGGTTTCCCATATACCATGTTCTAATCAGACATACACACCCTGTTAATTTAGACAAACAAATTACTGATGGAACACCGAGGACTTGAAGGTTACTTCCTAGCTGCAACTAATGCATCATTTCCTCTTCATTACTCATGGCCCTGTTTCGTCGACAGCACCCACATTTTAAAATAAAAGTCTTTAATATTGGTAGGTATTAAAAACTCCTGAACAGTATAGATTTACTTGAATATATCGTCATGAGTTATGTTTAATGGGTTTTACGAATGGGGTACTTTACACTCCGAAATTATCTTAAAATGAAATGCATATGTGTTTCTGACCTTGATGGTATTATGTAGTGTTATCATCTGGGCACTGAGTTCAGATGTGATGTTAAATGAAAGCTGTGCTCCTGTCAGCTTTCTTCCTCTAAGAGGATCTACAAAGTTGGATCTAAGGTTGATGTATAGATTCTCTTCCAAGCCCAGCACCTAGTTTATTCTATGCACTGCATTTGAAATTGATATTGTAAAGCACAATCTTGGTTTCTGTGTTTTCCCCAGTGTAAATGATTAATTCTCTGAATAGTTAAGTAGTGCACCCCTGTAGTTGGATACACTAATCCATTACTCTCCTTGAACTAAGAGAGAAGGAGACAGTTCTTGAGGCATAAGAATACTGAACTAGCAGGGTATATGCGCTGAATCATGAGTTGGTATATTATTGGGCATGAGCAATTGTAAGAGAACTCTCTTTACATAGAGTGACAAGGGCCTGATCTTGCAAACACTTACTACTTAGCATAATGCTTATTACCATGAGAATTTCCACCAAATAGTAGTAAACACTATGCTAGGTAGTAAGTATGAGCACAAACTAGCTCTAAATTGTTATGAGCCACCTTATTTGAAGCTATTCTAACTTTTATATGGGTCTCAATTTTGCTCCCTTGACTACCTTCTCCTTATTTGTATTGAGTAATAGCTTCCTACACGAGTAGCCTCATTAAAGTCCTGAAGAAAGTGGGTGAAATCCTGGCGTCACTGAAGACAATGACAAAATTCCCATTGACTTAAATGGAGTCAAGATTTCACCCAGTAAGTCTACGCTTAGAGTAAGGCACTACTTAAACCAAGTAAGGAAGGGCGTGGAGAAGAATTGGGCCCATAATTAAATTGATCATATGTAGCAACAATGCCTTTCTTGTTTGCTCTCCATTTCCTTGTGAGATAGATGTATCAGATGGTGGAGATGAGCAACTTTTCTTTTCTCCCTGTGTGTATTTTTTTTAAAGATACTATAATTCAGTGGCAAAATACCGCATGCGTGGACAGTTTTGGGTGTGTAATGTCATGATCCTAACATCTTACTGTTTTCTCACTGGATCACATTCTGTTGATGTAGTGTGTGTGTGTGTGTATATTTGTCTATATGCTGGGTGAAACATTGATTATAAAAATTATGAATCATTTTACAATATTTTCATTGCACTGTATATGTCTCTTTCTACTTGCCCAGTTATAATAGTGTTAGAGGCCAAAAGAGGCAAAGGACTAAACATATTTTTAAAAGCAGAGCTCCCATGGTCATCTTCTTTTAGACCATGTTAAAATAAGTTGCTTTTTAAAATTAAAAAAAAAAACAGTTTGTGAAAAGTATTGCACTGCCATCTGGAATTGTATGTCTATAAAAGAACCATGTTATGAGTATTAGTTCTCAGTATACTCTCCCATGGTTATTTTATAACTTGATCGGTAGAAAGACTCTCTCTGTACTGACTGTAAAAGGAATTGTTGGGCTCTTTGTGTGTGTGTGTGTGTGTGTTTAAAAATATCTGAGCAATTTCATCTACTGTTCTGCTTTTTGTCTTTATGGAGAGAGGATTTATATGATGATGAGGTACTTTCATTGGCCTGTCCTCATATTTTCTACCTATTTGTTAAAGAACAGGGAGTTTACAGTTCTTTGGAATGAGTCAGGAATAGAGCACAATATATTTTTCCTTTTCATAGTCATAGAATCTTTCAACCGCTGAGTTAGATGCTGAAAATCTCCGCACCTTCCTAAGCAGCGAGGGCAATCAAACATGAAATGATGGTCTTTTGGAATTTTTAAAACACATTCATCTTATATTAATATTGTGAAACTTTCTTTTTAAGCTTTGTTGCATAATTCCTGCTCTGCATGAATAACTTTACTAAGAAAAGGAGCAGCTGTACATTTTGCAACTTGCTTTGCCTCATCCTATGCCATTGTCAGTGGCCATCCTCTTGATGAACCTTTGGCAAAATATTCTCCGCTTGTTCAAAATACTACTCCATCAAATGGTTCCAAAAGCTAATTCATGGTTTATGTATTAAATCAATTATTAAATCAATTATCAATTACTTTACAATTCATAAAAATATTTTAAAATAGATTTCCCCTTGTGCATAACAAGTGTTGCACCTCTGATGACATTTTCTCCCCAGAAACTTGTCTTTGTGTCTAACAAATATTTTTTACAACAAACTAGTTAAACCAGCAGAAGCAAAAAATGCTGTGCGCTCTCGACATGTGCAGTGATTCCTCTTCAGCTGGCAGTCTCAGCACCGAGATGCCCAAATGTGAAAGGTACTATATATTTTTCTTGAAGCAGCATGTAGCTCTGTGCTTTCCAAGCAGTCACGGTAGTGTCTTCTGGGGATTAGGTTGCTGCTGGGCTGTTTGGGTAGCCTCATTTTTCTTGTCACTGACTTCTTTTGACTCAATTTATTCAGAAAGATTTGTTCTCGTGTATTCTTTTAAAAGGCTAGACAAGATTCTTTTCTAAAGACGTTTCTTGCTTCATGTAAGCCTTGTGCAAAATCTGGGCTCAGGTTCTCGATTCCTTGTGATATGGAACCACATAAATAAACTCTGATGGAACATTCCAAATTGACTGCCGCAAAAGACATTCATTTCCTAGAGAGGCTTGGTAGGGCAGCAGTGCTATTGCAAACTCATCCTTCTCAAGGCCATAGAAAAAAGATGAAGGGAAGCCAAAGGCTGTCCTCTAAACTCATATGCCACACCTATGGACTTCAGTGGGATCAATAAGTATAACTGATGGCACAATTTGGCCTGAAACAAAACCTTTTACCTGTTTGTTTTGTTTTTTTGCTTTATAGAGGGAAGGCACAGGTTATAAAAACAGTGACCTTGGCATAGGTTCTCTCTCTCTCTGGAATTAATGAATGACTTGGACCATCAAGTCATCTAGACAGCCAATAATCCCTAGGAAATACCCTGATGGATTATGGATTGTTCTTGCTTCAGTAACAAACAGTTCTTCTATTAACTACAGCTATGTTCTTGGGGTATGTTTATTCAGTCAGTGGGTAATTATTTTGTGGCAATGCTTTTTAGGTGCAAAGAAGTGAGGTTATGAAACATAATATATGAAAGAGCTCTTTTCAATATTCCTGTACTCTTTAGATATAGGGCCAAATTTTACTCTCTCACTGTGCAACCACATAGCAGTCAAAGTGATTGCAAAGGTATATCTGAGAAAATTGCAGCCTATATTATAGGTGTGGTTTGTAGGCCTGTCTGTTAATTTTGCTAGAAACTTCCCATAATACCCTCTTTTTAGTGGCATATGACTTTTACAGCCTGTAACAATTCAGGCTGAAATTTTCCATATTGTATGTCTGCCTGCGGCTTAATTCATTTGGAAAATTTCAGCCAAAATGGTTCAGCCACTGCTGAGAACAAAGCTAGGGAAAAATGCATTGTTTTGCCCATATTAAATTATGGTGACCTTTGCTGTGAAAAGTTCTAGTGCACCCTTTGGAGCAGGGACTTGAAATTTGATGGGGGAGGAAGGACAGGTGGCCTTTGTGCTAGGGATGCATTATGATACAGTCTTTAGTTAGATGATCACATACAACTTTTTTTTCCACAGGACCCTTGCCTCATTCAACACACAGGATGGACCTGCTCTGTAGATAATGAGGGTGGTGCCGTAAAAGAGGCTATTGTCTTTAGGACTCTAACTCATTTGTTGCAGAAGTTGGAAGTTGTGTAGTTAAGAGGGCAGGGGATGACAGAAAGAAAAAGGATGGCCTCAGGTTAAGGCAAATGAATGCTGCCCTGGAGAACTGGCTCCTGCCACAGATGTCCCATGTCATGCTTAGTAAATTACGTCAACCAGACTTTTCACAGGTGGTCGCTGTTTGTGTGTGACAACCCATCACAGTGTGTTCCTATTTTCTGGAAGTCCAACTTGATACTCTGGGGTCTGATTTGAAGAAGTGTTGAGCACCCGCAGTTGCAACTGAAATCAATGGGAGCTGTGCTTTGAACATATAAATGACTTTATAATACTAAGTACTCTTTTTTTTTTTAAGTTCCAAGGTGTCTCAGATTGGGCACCCAAAATTAATGGAAATTTTTAATTTTAATCTCTCTATGCCTCAATTCCCCATCTGTAAAACACCATGGGAAGAGGCAGGGTGTGGGTGGGGCCTTGGGAGAAGGGGTGGAGTTTGGACAGGGCCTGGGGCAGAGCCCCCGGCACTTTGAAAAGTTGGTGCCTGTGGCCTTAATCATAATGTTTAGGCACATGGGGGCAGAATTAATATTGCGCAAGCAATCTTAATTCTGGAATTTTCCAACATTCAAGGGCTTGATTTTGCAACCTTTATTTTCTTTTTCCATAGGTTTTTGCATGTAATATTCATATATGGGTGATTTATTAGCTTGAATTAGCTCTGCAGTTATACTTTACTTCCTTATTCACTGTGGATGAATATTTGATCCAATCTGAAAACAAGAGCTGTATCCAGAAGTCTGTGCACTGTTTTTTTTTCTCAGTTTGCCATCTACCTATTTCATACCTAGAATTTTGTGAAGCTTATCTAACAAAGTTTTAAAAGAACAGATTCGATTTTTTTACTTGGTGAGTTATATTAGCTCATAAATATTAAAAACATTAACGTTTGCTTTAATACATTTCTGTTGTATTTTAAAGAAACACCAGAAAAACCCACCAAATTGGCATGCAGCAGCAAGCAAATGAATGAGCATGCTTTCTTTTTTTTTTTTTTTAAACAAAAGTTAAATGAGCAAGGAGAAATATTTCTTGCCCACATGAGGGCTGTTGCTCTGTCGCAGGCAAGGTTTATAAGAGCTGTGTTCATTAAGGAATGTGTAGCCAAGATTTTTCTTTGCTTCTGTAGCAAAAGTAAAACAGGCTGTATATAAAATGGCAGACATCAAACTACGTAAATGTCTGTTAAGCCATACCAACTTTCCTCTTCTGGATGTAATACTTTATGTATAGTCAAGGAAGAAGCATAAAAGGAAAGGAGAAAGAGAGGGAAATCTGTGTGCGTGTAGGCCAATATCCCTTATTTTCCTATAGCTTGTGTTAAAATTTGACAACACATCGTTTGTGAGTTTCTCAGAAGATAATCTCTGGCAAATGTTCTCACTTTGGTATGTAACTGTAGTTAAAATTTTACTAATTCTTGTTTTCAGTTTCCTGGTGAAGATAAAGCTAAAGAAAATTTTAATAACCTAGAAAAAATAATAAACACTAGTTTAGTTGCTTCTTTTCTGAAAGCTTCCATCATCATCAGGTCAGATGATCATGTCAGCTCTTCTCAGAGGAGAGCCTCGCCACACTGATCCAGTCATTCATCACCTGCAAGATAGATCAGTACAGTGTACTCTACCTGGCAATAAAAGTGAAGGCTGCATGGAAGTGCTGGCAGGTGCAACAGCCTGTCTGTTATGCAATAAGAAAGCATATTACGTGAGCCCTATGTACACAGTACTGGCTCCCTGTTTAAATTTAGATCCAGCTGAAGGGTCCAGATCCTTATTTTCAAATCCCTTGATGGGTTGGGATCTAGCTATTTAAAAAAAAAAACTTTCTCTCCTTTCATGAACCACAATGCCAGCTATACTGTACAGGGATAATTTGGTTGGCAGAAAGGAAGATGAAACTCTCTGGTGTTGGGAGTAGGGCATTTCCAGTAATGGATCTGCAGCTATGAAACGCATACCCATGGGAGAGCCTGATGAGCCTCCAAACCTTTACAATGCAATGCATGACCTGTCATTTAGCAAAAGCCTTCCCTCACTCTAGTAGACAAGAGAACAGAAGAAAGGGCAAGCAAAGTTTCCAACAGAATAAACAATTAAAGACCTCCTGAGTAACATGGACTGGAACTACAGAATTGTTGGAACATGTTTAGCAATATATTTAATTCTGAACATGGCACACAAATGCCACTGTGATTGCCACTTTAGAAACCTGTTCATTGGTTCATACCATGTCTTTCTGACTAATGCAGGGGTCGGCAACGTTTGGCACGCGGCTCACCAGGGTAAGCACCCTAGCGGGCCGGGCCAGTTTATTTACCTGCTGACGCGGCAGGTTCTGCCGATCGCGGCCCCCACTGGCCGCGGTTCACCGTCCCGGGCCAATGGGGGCGGTGGGAAGCCGCAGCCAGCACATCCCTCGGCCCGTGCCACTTCCCGCCGCCCCCATTGGCCCTGGACTAATGTAACATAGGCCCTCTCTGGACTGTTCTTTATGAGGTGAGATTTTTCAACTCGTTATTATACACTTCATCTGAGCTATACAGTGACTGGAAACAGCACAGTAGTCACCACCTTAACTACTATTTGAACTCAGTTAAATCAAAGGTCAAGACCTTCCCTTTCATGTGATTTTTGTTGGGTTTTCATCCAGATTGGGTACAGAAATTTGTATTGGCTTGATGTAATATTGCTTTTCTGGTGGGTTTAGGGGGAGTAGTCTTTGGTTAGGCATAAAGCCATCACCTGAGATGTTGACAGAGTAATGGGAAGCCAAAGAAGAGATTTTTTTGCATCCTGGGCTATTTAGCATAAGGTACAGAAGCAGAGAAAATCAAGAAGTCTATTTTAGAATTAGGGTCACAAAATGTAGTCCTCACCATTTTTCTGTGTTCAAAATGTGTAGGGAAGTTGCTGTCCTTGAAGCCTGCTGGTCAGTGGAGCAGTATTAATTTCTTTCTGGGGGCAAATCACTCATCTAACCTCCCAGCTGGGGATGGGATTGATTCTTTAATCATGTTGGCTTCAGAGAAGGGGTTATATGAATCACTCTACCCTGAAGCTTCCTCAGGGTATTAGGGCTAAATTAAACAGTCTGGGCCTAATGTGTAAGCCGTAATAGACTTTGAGAGGCTCCCTCAGATAAGAGGAGTTTTTAAAATAATCAGAAAATCAAACCACAGATAAAAGAAAAAAGGCTGAAGGGCAGAATCACCCTTAACAGACTGGGACTAATACATTTGCGTTCTGTGGGGCAATACTTTACATTCAGATTCTATTAGGGAGGAAAAAAGAAATGCATGAATAGCATAGTTCCATTCCTGGCACTGCATTAAGAACATATTTTTTTCTATCCTTTGTATATACATTCCATATTTAATCCAAAAATAACCGATCACACAGGCTTACCACAGCACCTTTCTGTATATGTATACTGATAGTTACTTGATCTTTTACTAATTTCTTTAAAATCCTACCATTGTTGCAACAGGCTTTGCTACATATGTGTAGAGTCCTGTAAATCCTATATTAAGTCCTGATAGTGCAAAGACTAACACATGTTCTTACCTTTATGCACTTCACAGTGAATAAGTTAAACACATAAGTAAGTAGTTTTTTTGGTTGTTTTTTGCAGGATTGAGACCTTATCGTCTGATCCAACTCTCATTGAAGTCAATGGAAAGACTCCCACTGACTTGGATGGGAACTGGAGCTGACCATTAGTGAGCAGTATTTTGTATATTAGGTGCTGAGATACAATGGTGATAGTGTCGTATAAATGCCTAGTTATGTTTGCTAGAGAATTGATGTTTGTGAATGTCATTTATATGCAATAATACAGTGAAAGGAATGGGGCTCCATGGCTTTACCTTGAACTTGCTGTATTACCTGGCATGAGTCTCTTAAGCTCTTTGTGCCTAAGTTTGCCTGTTAGTTAAAGGGAGATAACAGTACTTCTCCACCTTTATAGAGCAGTTTGAGATCCTCTGCATAGCAGAAACATAGCACTTTGCTACAAAAGTTAAAGTGTTTATTAATGACTTCTTATTAATTAGGTTATGAAGTTGCATTAAAGGACAAGGGCAAGCATGATTATGAGGTATAGAGACATAGATTTTTCTCCCACGAGTGCAATCTCCAGAAACACTTTGTTAACCCAGTCCAATACAACATTTGCTTGGTCCTACAGGCTCTGGAAGATTATGGATACTGGCTCTGTGGCACTGCCCTGGATACTTAGCCTGTGCCAGGTCAATTTATCCAGGTAAAATATCAGCCTGATGTGAAAACTGAAACAAAACCCATTCTCTGGGAGTGGGGTTTAGAGCTTCTGAAAACAAACGCGACTACCAACCCGTCTCAGCTCCTGCCGCTCGAGCTTGTGGACAAGTGTATAGGTTCACGTATTCACATTGTGATGAAGAGTGATAAAGAAATTGTTGGCACACTCTTAGGATTTGATGACTTTGTCAACATGGTGTTAGAGGATGTTACAGAGTTTGAAATCACACCTGAAGGAAGAAGAATAACAAAATTAGATCCGATCTTGCTAAATGGAAATAACATAACAATGCTGGTTCCTGGAGGAGAAGGACCTGAAGTGTAAATTGATTCATTTGTCATCTATGAAGACTCTTGTTATATATTCTGTTATCTCAATGGAGTGCTTTTGGTTTTCATTTTGTTTACATTTAAAGTTGAAAATAAACTGTTTACTTTCCCATGTCCTGTCTGAGAGAAGCAACAGTGTCAAGTGAGACTTTGGACCAGATGTAGAGATTTCTAAAAACTTTAAATCAAAATGCTGTTGTTGGGGATGGGGGGTAAGTTTCACTATGACTGCTAGAGAGCACTAAGGAAATTCCTGCCCGCCGCCTCATTGTTGTGGGAGAGGAGGCTGGCCATTTAGGTCTGGGTAGATGAAATTCACTTTTCTCTCTTTTCCCCCCCCCCCCCTTCATGTGTGTACACACCCATGTATTTATTTTCTTCCCTTGTTCAGTTTGGTTCATTGGTCCATTTCTTTCCCTTGCCAGCAAAGAAGAGTATCTGATAAATTCAAACCAATGTACCCTTTCAAATTACTCGTGGATGATTCAGTTATTCATCTGGGGAATAGTCCCCCCCATATTAAAACACCAAGGGATTTGTGGGGTATCCTGTGAAGCCTTGCTCAAGTTCCCTAACTGCAATATGTGGTGATCAGTAACTCCCACCTAGTAATATGATGATGGAAGAGGATTTACTTCCTCTTCATAATAGGGAAGAGCTTCCTAAGGTAGAGGGCTCTTTAGCCTAGCAGACAATGGCATAACAAGATCTAATGGATGGAAGCGGAAATCGGGAAAGTTCAAACTGGAAATAAGGGACACATTTTTAGCAGTGAGGATAATCAACTGTTGGAACAGATTACCAGGGGTCACATGGAATATTTAAATCAAGATTGGATGATCTTCTAAAAGAGATGCTCTAGTTTCACTACAAGTTGTTGGGATCACTGGCCTGTGTAATAGAAGGTGTCAGACTGAATGGCTGTAATGGTCCCTTGGGTGTTAAAATCTGTGCTTAAGGCTGCAAAATCCATGGAGGTCACTGAGTTTCTCTTAGTCAGTAGCCTTTGAGGATTATTTCACCTGAATCTACTCTTCTTCTTCTTTTTTTTTTTTTGTAAGACTGTTGCTGGTTATCTGCCTACAACAGTGAAACAGTTGTTTTGCATATGACAGGCTTCATGTACTACTTTATATATTACTGAGATCTGGTTCTGCATAAGCATTTCTGAGAAACTTAGTCACTATGGTATTTCACTTCTTTTTTTTTTTAAGAGGCAAAAATCTCACTTCATCTAAGAATTACCCATTTAGTATAAGACTGGTGTGGCTGTCCTTGAGCAGCATGCAAGAAATAGATGATTTGTCCTTTACTTCCAGTTTTGGGCAGTTAATATTGATTGACTCTGTATTCTGGGATTTACATTACCAGTAATAATAATACAACAAAGAATGCTTTTGTTATAATCCTCTTCTGGAAAGACAATCTTAAGCACTCTGTTAGGCAAATGTATGCAAACAAGCTAATTTTTTAAGACTGCCATTTCTTAAAGTATTGCTTGAGATTTTAGAGCATTTGGTCTAAATATTCATAAAACATGATTTTCTGCTGTGTAAATTAAGAGAAGTACAAAGTAAAGGGAATTTAAAATGTTGAAGAAAAGCTATTTTAGCTACTCCATATATTTGGAGTTTATGCTTTTAGGTGCAGTGAAAGAATCTTAGTAGGCATTTATTTTTGCTAAGTTTTAATCTTTTTCAATGTTCTCTTTAATATGGAAAAAGGATAAATTGATGAAAGTTAAGTTTATCTTGCCGTATCTATTGTGCAGTAGAATAACAGTATATATTTATTGTGATAAATACCAAATAGCATTAACTTGTACAAGATTTGTGGTTTTAATTAGGTTGTAAAACCTTACTTTGTTTGGATTCTTTGTGATATTACTGTTTGTTAATTTTGGAGATAACTTGTCATTCTGCCCTTGTTTCCTGTGCCACTGTTTTAGCCAAAGCATATTCATAAGTGTAAAAGATCATGGGCCTTGCTCTTCAGCCATTTACTCATGTGAGTGGTCTTAATAAGTTCAGCCTGAGTAAGGTCTCCAGGGCAGCGTTCCAGCATTCTTTAAAGCACACACTACAACTGTTGGATGATTTTTGTTTGTTTATATTAATAAGAAATGTAGATGCCATGCTTAACTTAGCAATGCTCACTCTCCTTTCTATGTGTTAGTCTGCTTGCACCACCAGCTGTAGATGAGTGGGTTGTGTTCAGATCCTTAGGCTAAATTCCCAATCAGGAAGACAGTGTTCACATGTTCATCTTTCCCAGTACAGAACTGTTGAGCTTTGTTCTTCTCTGCAAGCAGAGTTGATTCCAATACAAAACAAAATAGAGTTATTACATTTTCAGTGTTACGTGAATGGCTACTAAAAATACTAGAGGAGATTGCAATAATTCAGCGGTTCTCAAACTGTGGGTTGGAACCCCGTTTTAATGAGGTTTCAGGGCTGGTGTTAGACTTGCTGGGACCAAGGGCCAAAGCCCGAGCCTGAGGGCTTCAGCCCTAGGTGTCAGGGCTCAGGCTTCTGCTTCAGCTCTTGGTGGTGGGGCTCAGGTTACAGGCCTCCTGCCTGGGGCTAAAGCCCTTGGGCTTCAGCTTTGCACCCGAGCGCCTCCCTCTTCACCCGGGTGGCGAGACTTGGGCTGGCTCAAGCTTCGGTCGCCCCTCTTGGGGTCGTGTAGTAATTTTTGTTGTCAGAAGGGGGTTGTGGTGTAATGAAGTTTGAGAAACACTGCAGTAATTATTTTCATCATTGTCTCCCCGCAGAACTATCTTTAAAGTCATTGGATGACTTGTGAGGGGAGGGGAGACTTGGGATTCTTGCCCACAGTGATGAAAGTGTTCAGTCCTCAACTCCAAAGAGGTGAAATTCTGCTTCTGATGGGTTCCTGGCAGAAGTTCTGCTTCTGCAGTAGGGCCAGTTGTTGGCTTAGTGCGCTCTCATCTTCATTTCATTCCTCCTCCCACCCCAGTTTCTGTTTCTAGGAGACCTATGCAGGAGAGAAGTGTCCTTTCTTGTATATTGGGGAAATGTCCTGTTTCTCTACATAGACTGTTGGTTTATGCTACTGAAAAGGTTAATCATAAAGCCAGTATTTTTCAGAAGTTGCAAGGTAGGTTTCACGAAGTCAGCAAAGTTCTGCATGAGGAGGACTTGCAGGATTGGGCCCCTCTCAGCAAATGTCCTTTTAAAGAGGAAAGCGTCATAAAGATGAACTGAGTCATCCAAGAAACAATTTATTTTCACTTTAAGGTGTCTCTGCGCTTTCAGAGCAGTGTAAAGATCCTTGTTATGTCTACACTAGCACTTTTGTCAGTATAACTTACGTTGCTCAGGAGGTGTGGAAAAAACACCCCTCTGAGCGACATAAGTTAAACCGAGCAAAGCACCGGTGCGGCCAGCGCCATGTCTGCAGGAGATGGTCTCCAGCCGACATAGGTACCGCCGCTCATTGGAGGTGGTTTAATTATGTCAACAGCTCTTCCATCCCTGTGGGCAAGAAGTCTCAAGTCTCCCCTCTCCTCACAAGTCATCCAGTGACCTTGATGATGTTTCTGCAGGAATGTAATGATAAAAATAATTATTTCAAGCTCCACTAAAACTTTTAGAAGACATTCACGTGATACTGACTCAGGACCTCTATTTGATACTTTGTATTTGAATCCACACTTCAACAACACATTGACTTCATTGGTAAAATACTATGTGAAAAGTGGGATAATGTGATGTGATGGAAAATTGGAAGACGCTTTACACACTATGTTTGTACATTGGTGATATAAAATGATGTAACAATAGAAGGTTAAATCATTGTGTCCTCCTAGATTTCATTAGCACTAAACGGAGGAAAAACATCAATATTCAGTTAAACTAAGATGATATTATTGACATTAATAATATTGACGTTCTAATCAAGCTTATTGAATGATTTTCAGTGAAAGTAGTGAACTGTTATGGATATTCTGTATTATTTATGTCGAGCAAAATTGTTTTGCTGCATCCATTACTACTGCTGGAAAATAATGCTGGAAGTACCATATGGCTCTCTTGTCACAGTAAGATGGTTGACTTTGACCTTAATCTACAGTTACTTTTTTTTTAAATACAGATTTCACATATCCTGATTTTGATTTTTGTAATTAAAAGAAACTTTACTACACTCCATCACAGGGACTATGTGTAGAAAGCATTTAGCACATTTTGGGCATTACGACAATGTAAATACATTTTTTCACCTTATGTGTAAGATGTACTTTCAAAAGGGGGAAATCAGCCCCTAACCTTTTCTTCCTTAATGAGAAATGAGCCTAAGACCTGATCTTTGCAATCCATATTCAGACTGAATAGATTCTTACTCTAAAGAGTCTAAAGTAGCCTCATTAATTCCAAGATGCTACTTGTTGTGAGGTATTACTTGATGTGAGTAAAGGTGATGGAATCCAGCTAATAATAATAATAGAACACCTACTGGTACTGTAGTTTCAGAGTGGTAGCCAGGTTAGTCTGTATCAGCAAAAACAACGAGAAATCCTTGTGGCATCTTAGAGATTAACAAATTTATTTGGGCATAAGCTTTCATGGGCTAGAACCCACTTCATCAGACATATGGAGTGAAAAATACAGGAACAGGTATAAATACATGAAAGGATGGGGGTGCTTTACCAAGTGTGTGGTCAGTCTAATGAGATAAATCAATTAACAGCAGGATACCAAGGGAGGAAAAAGAACTGTTGAAGTGGTAAGAGAGAAGCCCATTACAGACAGTTGACAAGAAGTTGTGAGTAACAGTAGGGAGCAATTAGTATTGGGGAAATTAGGTTTAGGTTTTGTAATGACCCAACCACTCCCAGTCTTTATTCAGGCCTAATCTGATGGTATCCAGTTTGCAAATTAATTCCAGGACCGCAGCAATGTGATATATGCCATCATGTGCCAGCAATGCCCCTCTGCCATGTACATTGGCTAAACCGGACAGTCTCTACGCAAAAGAATAAATGGACACAAATCTGACATCAGGAATCATAACATTCAAAAACCAGTAGGAGAACACTTCAATCTAGGGTGACCAGATGTCCCGATTTAATAGGGACAGTCCTGATTTTTGG